TTTAGGTTTTAATTTTTTTTCTTCTTGTAAACAAGACACACTCGTCGTTTAAAGATAAATTTTTTAATGGATAGGGGATGGTAAAAAGGGATAAGAATTTTATAACATGAGTAATTATATGTCATGTTACTGTTATTTTAAATGAATATGATAACAAAATAACTGTTATATTTTTTCATATCCTACTTATTGACAGCTCTAACAATTAGCATGTAGTGAGGAGATACTTCTGATGCATAACGTAAATGTCAAAAGTTCTGAAAAACAATGCCACGAATATCAGTCGAACGAGTTAGATCAATCTCAGTCTCAGTGAAACTTTGATAAAACATGACTCTGATAGATATTACTGAACATGATACAGACGAATCTAAAACTAAAGCTGTTGAAACTACAACAAAAACTGTAAGAATATTTATGAGTCTGAATCAGATCATTTAGCCAAAGACTAGTTCGATTTCTCCGTTCTTTTACATTTCTAAATCATAACAAATTTGTCTGTAACGTATTCATCAGTAAGCTATCAACATATGTCAGATGAATTCGATAATGAATTAAAACGGGATTAAGTCAATGAATATTTTAAGACAAGTCAAAGAGGTTGATTTTTTCCTTCTAGAATCGTATGTTCATTTTTTTAAATTTTATTAATAACTGATTTATTAAATATTATTAAAAGAGTTATATAATATTTTAATAATAATAATAATAATGTATTAACTGAGGATATTTTATACCGACTAAAGACTTTTAAACCATTTGACTTATTTTATATCTATTTATTTTTTAATTGTACATATCGGCCTCGTTTATGAATAAATTTTAGAGTAAATTACATGAGAAAGTAACGTATTTTAACTTGATTTATATTTTGGATAACGTATTTTCAAAACTTTAAAATTATCTATGATGTAAAGTTTTAAACATTTAAGTACCCGGGTAACAAGTTGAAGACTAATTTTAGATTAAAAAAAACTAATTTTAGATTTAAAAATACTAAGTTGGATTACCATATCACTTGTCATATCAACATGATAATCGGTTAATGTTTCAACCGGTTACTCAGGTACTTAAATGTTTGAAACTTTACATCTTAGATACCAAAATGAAAGTTTTAAAAGTACGTTATCCGAAATAAGAATCAAATTAAAGTACGTTACTTTTTCATACAATTTGCCCTAAGTTTTAACATAAAGTAACATTTTTTATATGTATATAGGCTAAAATTGCTCATCCCCGCGGATTTCCTGTAAAACTAAGGGTGAGGCGACAGGCGAGCATCCTCAAAAATTAAAAACCGGGAGCAGAGACGAAGCCGAATAACACGATTCCCAAGACCCAAACTTGCCATGTGTCTGTATATCTAATATATTATATATTATTATTCCATACATTGTTTATAAAGAATCAGATTTAGCATCTTTAAGATTTAGAAAAAAAAAAATTTGATTTTGCCAAATTATTATCGATATACCATTTTAAATCACATAATTCTAATTATAGTTTTGTTCTATTATTTTTTATTTAATGATTTTGTTTAACCTGGAAATCCAACCCGCTATACGAGCCGACTAATCCCATGACGACCACGTGTTTTACAAATAGCCCGGAGTCACCGCTTTTGAACCTCTGTAGCCACAAGGGGATTTTTATTCCTCCTTGGTGGTGTTGATTTTATTTTGTTTGAATTTGAATGTTGGTAACCACTGTTGACATTTGATGGTACCTATTCTATTTGTAAATTTGAATTTGAAAAAATACCTCGATTCTCTGTTGGAGATGTGATTATATTCCTCAATAGGATTAGAGATGGAGGCGGGGATGAAGATTAGAATCAAGGACGATGATTGGGATCGAGGTCCGTGACCCATTCCTGTGCCTACTATCAAATCGTAACATTAATAAGTTGTCTAATAAGTCAAAAAAAAAATACGAGTGAAATGAAATTACGTTACTATATCAGTATTTTTTTTTAAATTACATATATAATCAATAATATCAAATATAACTATAAAATTTCTGGTATCAAAATAACAAGGGTCGGGTTCACGTGAGACCATCATGTTTTTATGAGACCATATTTTTACATCTTAAACTTCACAACAAAACACTGTGAAAATAAAAAAAAATCCGAACTTTCACGATAAATACACTATGAATGATACATTCACAGTGTTATATTGTGAAGCTTCAAGTGTAAAAAAGTGATTTCACGAATCTTGTGAAAACAGATTGATCTCACATAATACCACGTCAAATAACAATATGAATTTTTTATAACACAATTTAAAATATTTGCTTGGAAAGGTCGCGCCTGTGCCCTTTTGGGAGGGATGATCGCTGGCTGCTTGACAACGCTTTACAGCAAATTGTTATTTTCATCCTTGTAGTTTGTTGCTTATAATTATTTTTACCCTTCATCTTTAAAAATTGTTTTTTATATCCTTATGGTTTGCAATTCTTTTCATTTTTCATCCTTAATATCAAACTCTGTTAGAAAAGTTCTGTTAAATTAAGGGTAAATTGGTCCTTATAACCTTTTTCTTATTTTCCTTTTATTTTTATAAAATTAAAACATTATAATAAAAACAAAACTTAATATAACCTAACCCCCATCCATGTGACCTGCCATCCCCATTCATCATCTTGATTTCCCATGATGTCCTTCATCTTTCGATTCAGACACTGAAATTTTTTGACAAAGATTACATATAAAACTTGGAAGTTAATGGTCTTCGTCTTTGGTGATTACTTGTATGTTGATGCAAAATCAAAACAAAAAATAGTGGTGAATCAACCTTCGTTTTTCGTTTGTGAGTTCACCAAGTTAATACAAAACCCAAAACCAAGATCAGTGTTGCTTTGATGGAGAAGAGGGTGTCGATGTTCAGAGATGGAGTGGGGGGAGAAGGTGAGGTCCGTTTGTACCAGTTGTTTTTACAATAGCAAAACACAGGAGAGATAAATAGTGGAAAAAGTTGGATTTCTTGATTATAAAACATATATCTACAACCCTTATTTATAGTTATGTCTTGGTTTATCTCAACAGACTCGTAACATAACCCTTGTCATCTCAATGAAAACTTCATGAAATTGAGGAAAAACGAAAAGCATCAAGGCTCTTTTTATTGGCATCCAAGTTAATATAACATGCAAATTGTTGAAATCCAATTTGACTTACGATTTGGTCTCTGCTTTTACCTTCCTGTTCATTGAAAGATTTGGGTCTTTATCATTATGAATTTCATCGCCCAATGGATTGCAAAAGGGAAGGGGGTGTCAGAGATATCTCTCTCCTTCTTTATATAGACCTGAGATCATGTGAGATCAAGAGTTTTTCGTGAGACCCGTAAGACCAATTTTCAACCATTGGATTAGATCTACAATATGAATATTCATAATCACAAAATTACCACGATACTTCTCAATAATCACAAAATTGCCACCGTACAACTTTAGACCATTAGATCATTAGCTTATAAAGTTGATCAATGAACATAAATTGATCTTACAGGTCTCACGAAAAAACCTTTGGTCTCACATGAACTCAACCCCTTTTTATATATATATATATATATATATATATATATAATAAAATATGTAATATATAATATTATGATCCATTTTTAAATGAAAATGAGTTAAAAGGATAAAAATACCAAGTTGCACTTGATTTAACGGGTGTTTTAATACAGTTAGACAGAGGGGCAAAAAACAAAATAAATTACAAACCAGGGTGACCAAAAAAGCAATTTTTTAAAGACCATGGATGAAGTTCGTTATAAACAACATACCACAAGGACGAAAATTATAGTTTACTCTTAATATTTTAAATCAACTTTATTTTTTAGCATCTCAAATGGTTTTTTTTTTTAATTTTTCTAAAATAAATAATTAAAATATAAATTTTCTAAAATCAATTAAATTCATTTGATTATTTATTTTAGAGATTTAACATAAATTATATTATTATAATAATATTCTCTAATTTATTATTTTAATACGTTTTAAAAAAAAAATTCTTATAAAAAAATAATAACTCAATCTCATTGGTAAAATTGAATAAAATGACCATATCTTAAAACCTTCATTTACATTAATATTCCTTCAGATTACCTTTATTTGCCTATATTTTATCATTATGGTCACCACCTTAACAAAATGCATCTGAAAATGATAAAATGTATGTAAAAGTTCGTGTAATTGGTCGTTTACCAAACACTTATTCAGTAAGTGCTTACCGGTAAAATTTAACACTATTATTTACTTATCGGGTTAGATTTTAGTTCACCAAAACAACATTGTATGCAACAATTCACCCGGTAAACGCTTACCATGGTAAGAGTCGTCGCTCTCACTTACCGAATAAGACTTTGGTCTTTGTCTCGCTCTTACCAAATAAGATTCTTTGTCCTTACCATATTCATTCAGTGAGGTAGTGTGACTTGATAAGAGCTTATCTGACAAGCGTTTGGTAAACGACCCCTAAATTAGGGGTGGTTTGACAATTGTTGAATGGTTTAGTGCAGAATGATTAAAAAACTCTCATGATATAGTGCAAAATAAAATATGATTGTTTGATAATTGTTTACAACAAAATTAGGATGTTGAATGGTTAAGGAAGACCCATGATACAAAATTATTCAGAGGGTTTTAAAACCATTAAGAGACAAACATTTTTTTTTTGCCAAACAAGATTCGTCTCTTAACGATTCAGAGACTGCCTTTTAATAAAACTATTAAGAGGTAAACAAACAGTCTTTAAAAATGAAAATAAAGGTAGTGGAAGGAAAACATAAAGTTAACAAACTTTTTAACGGTTTTTGTACTGAGTATGTTACGAGGACTATGGCTGAACTTTGACAATAACTTATTTTCAATTCCAAAAAAGAAAAAACTAAAAGTCAAGGGATTAAAATGCACGTTAGGCATAAGTACATGGACCATTCGATAAATGCACCATAATTTATCTGCTTTATCCTCTTTACCTTTTAGCAGTGAAGAAAAATCGGACACAAAGACGGTCCTCCGAGAGCAGAAGGGCGCCATTTTTGCCGACCAAGGTTTGATACACTCTTACTCTCGTATCATTTTCCTCTTTCTTTTCAGGTTTTATATTGAATTAATATAGTTTAGGGTTTCCAGTAAACAGTTTTACTTTGATTTCTGTTGAATCTCTCGAACTTAGAATCGCTAAAATGGATGGAAAATTGATACGGAATCGTTTTATCTGTAGAAATTTCTGTAACAGTTGACACAATTTGTTTGAAAAGTAGTTGAATCTGGATCCACTTTTCGAAACAGATGGAATGATTTTCTTGTTGTTCTCGCAAATCATAACTGTGGTGAATGCATAGCTTGACATCTGAGTCGAGTTGCCATGAATATGTATATGATATCGGGTTATTTGAACCTACGACATCGGGTTATTTGAACCCGAGGCAGGTAAGATGAAGGGCATTTGAATGCCAAGCTCCTAATTGAAAACTCATTTAAAGTCGTGCATTCAAAAGACCCTATTCTAAATAGTGTTATAAAAAGCTCGTTGTAGCAGCTGTCATGGCGTGTTGTGGCTCGAGGCTTGTGTCTGATGTCGGGCACTTTATGGCCTAATGCATGATTTCTGTATCGCTATATTTGATTTTTCTTACCTTTTTAATGTCTTACTGGTTAGTTTTAGTTATATACTCTAATTCAAATTCTTTAGTATACTCATTGAGCAATAGTATAAAACATATGTTATATTTATATATATGTAGGGTTGGGTTTACGTGAGACTAAGGGTTTTTCGTGAAACTCGTAATACCAATTTATGTTCATTGATCAACTTTATAAGCTAATGATCTAATGGTCTAAAGTTGTACTGTGACAATTTTGTGATTATTGAAAAGTCTCGTGGCAGTTTTGTGATTATGAATATTCAGATTGTAGATCTAATCCAAGGGTTGAAAATTGGTCTTACGGGTCTCACGAAAAACTCTGGGTCTCACATGATCCCAAGTCTATATATATATATATATATATATGTGTGTGTGTGTGTGTGTGTAGGGTTGGTTCACGTGAGACCAAGGGTTTTTCGTGAGACCCGTAAGACCAATTTATGTTCATTGACCAACTTTATAAGTTAATGATCTAATGGTCTAAAGTTGCACGGTGGCAATTTTGTGATTATTGAGAAGTCTCATGGCAATTTTGTGATTATGAATGTTCCGATTATAGATCTAATCCAAGGGTTGAGAATTAGTCTTATGGGTTTCACGAAAAACCTTTGGTCTCACATGATCCCAAGTCTATATATGTATGTATAATATAAAGATTTGCTTTGTTTTTAAGTACATAAGTCTCGGGTCGTTAATTTTATGCAGGTTGCTAATAACTTCTTTCCAAACTTTTAAGGTACAAAATTCTGCAACTATGGCGAGTCTAGCTATGGCTCCCCAATTGTTCTCAATCTCTAAAAGAAACAAAGCAGAGCGTAAAACTTCACATTCTACTCACGTTAGGATCAGATCGATGCAGAGACCTTTGGAGGAGATATATAGCATAAGGGTAGAAAGAAACGTGTCTAAAGAGCGATTAGCCGAACTCGAGGTCTCTAAATGGTCAACATGGAAAACGGGCAAGTGCAATGTTCCATGGGATTGGCATGTTGACCAACTGGTTTTCATCGAAGAAGGAGAGGTAAGGGTCGTGCCTGAAGGCAGCGAACGACACATGAGTTTCGTGGCCGGTGATTTGGTACGGTATCCGAAATGGTTCGAGGCCGACCTCTGGTTCAACGGCTATTATCAAGAGCGATATAGCTTTCGTGCATACGGTGATGATTAGGGTTTCTTGAAGTAGTGTTGAGTTGTTTGTTATGGCATTTAGGGTATGGCTGTGGCCAGTTATTTTCATTCAGTTCTTGGTATGAATTGAATCAGACAGTTTGTAGAAGAAATTATTGTATCTATTCAGAAACTGTAACTTGTGTCTGTATGAGATATTGCTTGGATGTTTTTTCTTTTAAATTGATGCAAGTTGTTTAAAATTATTGACGAGTAAGGGATCGTTTACCAGATGCTTAGTCGGTAATTGTTTACCGGATCACGTTACTTTATCGGATGAATATACACATGGTACGGACCAATAATTATCCGGTAGAGTGACGGAAGGATCGAGAGTATTACCTAGCAAGTGAGAATGATGACTTTTATCAGGTTAGCATTTACCGGTATCTAAACTTTACACCCGCGTTCCCCGTGAGTAACCAAAAGATTGTTCTGGTCTAAGGTAAATGATAGTGCTGAATCTTAACGGTAAGCGTTTACCGGTTAAGTGGTAGGGTAAACGTTTCCCAAGTAATGTTATATTGGCTGATTACAAAAATGACTTTACTTTTAGAAAGTTCTACGAAATGACTGTACGCTCTGCAGATCAATATCGTAAAATCCACTTGATTTTGTGAAATCCATTCATTTGCTCAACACGTCAGTCTCGCAAAATCCATTTAGGTTTTTTTTCCTACGGAATCTAGTAGTTTTGGGCGTTCGTTTAAGGACTGTTCGGTTTACGGAATTTGATGGGATAAGGAGTTGGATATTATTTCAATCTCGCATTTGGTTTAGTGGAAAGTTCAGAGTTGAAATCCCATAAACATAAGATTTAAGAAATCCCATTGGATAGTTGGTGTTTGATGGGATTTCATAGGATTTATTTGTAATGTTTTAAAATATATCAAAACATCGTTTAGGGTTTGCGAAGATTGAAATTCAAAATTCAATTCCATTCAAAATTCTACAATTCGAACACCCCAAAATAAATCATTTAGGGTTTGTAAAGAACTGATATATTCAGCGAATAAGTGGTTATAAAAACCAGTTTTTTTTGGAAAATCCACAAGTATAAAACCATTTTTTATTTAATAGATTATGTTGTGAATTTAATTAAAATCTCATTTAAGATTATGTATTTAAGGAAAACCTTTTGAGAACACTCTAAGAACCAGTACATCATGTGTTATTTCATATAATTATTTTTCCATCTATGACTATAATTTAATATGGTGATTAATATATATTCCTTTCACATGTACTTGATACATTGGTTCACAATGTGAAACGCTTTTGTGTGCTTTTAAAACAAAAAATACATGTAAAAAAGTTTCACATTACGAACCAAATACTCATAAAACAAACACATTGTGAAACAAATATACATTAATTATTACACTTGGAAAAAAAAATCATGTAAAACAAAACCTTAAGATAAAAGTTCTCATGAATCTAACAAATTTTAGAGTTCTCAAATGATCAAGCCCCATAATAAAGATAGAAAAAGCATCAAATTTTTGCATCATTACATTAATATAACATTATGGGGGTAGAAATCCAAATAAACACTTGCTCTTTTCAACTGGTTTTTTATGCTACAAAGACATCCATGGCTGATAATACAACCCAAAAGCAAAAAAACAACACTTACCACCTTCATTTCTATCCACAAAACTCCCAATCTTCACCCTTCCCATTCTCCCCAAAATCATTCTCCCAACTCCAAACGAACCGGGCCCCACAGCGTCAACGAACCATACTTCATCGGGTCACACCAACAAGTCAAACTCGGATCACAAAATCAGTAGACGAATGTAATCAGCTACTTGCAGTCGCGAGTGAAGATGGTGTTGGGGTGGTGGTGGTGGTGGTGGTGGCACCAATGGCAACAGAAGTGAACTTTGAGGTCAGAATGGGTTCGTTGGTTTTGGCGGCTGCTACGTTTTCGAGACGGATCCAGGTAGATTCGCGCTTTTTGCGGTTTTCTTTCTTTTTGAGTTCATCTTCTTGGTATTTGACGAGGCACTCGTCAAACAGAGATTGATCGGCATCTGAAAATATTTTCCTGACGTTGAGGGTCAGGCTTTGAACGGCTTGGTTCCAGTGACCTCGTGTGTTTTTCTCCAAAGCAGGGAAGATTATGGGCAGGATCACTTTGCGGTTTTGAGTTATCAGATTCCTTATGTGGTCGTTATTCCATAAGAATAACGCACGTTCAGCTACCTGCAAACAGCCACGATAAAGAGAAATCCAATCAAGCACAACATTAAACTAAGGACACAACCCGAATCCTAACTCAAACAAGAAGTTCGTATTCAATTCCGGAGGGATCCCCAATAAGTTGGAAACAATCTACAGTATTCTCCCAATAAGCAGATATACGGAATTCCATATCCGTCAATACATATAGCAGGAATTACATATAAGTCAGACATGGACCTCAATTTGGACTGTAAACCTGTTTACAGTTTGAAGGTCCAAGTTCATGTGTTCCGTAAACAGCCAGGAATGGACAGAACAGGACGGGCAAGAGTAAGGTAGGCGGGTGAAGGAATTGTACAAGGTTTTAGGGTTTTAATTTGACATGTGGGTAGTTCAGTAATTTACCAATCTTGTCTTATCTCCCTGATTTTTGTTCCGTCTATTTCGGGGGAGGGGGGGAGGCAAAAAAATGCAATTTATCCCACTCAATCCTGTTCGGTCTAATGTCGCACCAAATGTGGGACAACTACTTTATGTTATATATCCTGCATACCAAACGCACCCTACGAGAATAGTTACAACAGTTGGGGGTTGTTTGGTTGGTTTTCCATTAAGTCCTATATGGATAAAGTTGTCCGTGTGGACTAATCTGTCCATATAGATTGGGAAGATTTTTCCTCTTGGGTAGTTTTTTCATAGATGGAAGGAGGTTTTTTCTAATTGGGAGAGGCATGTTTGGAAAAAAAAACCTTGACTTTCCGCATAAAGCTCCTATCTGCAAACTTACTGAATAAGTCACTTTCTATATCATTAAGCCACTACCAAACAGTCATGTACAGCTGACCGAATAAGCTCCGAGTCCCATTAAGCTCATTAAGCTACTAACAAACATTCCCTTAGCCACTTACGAGGACAGCTTTTCATTTTTATATATTTACCTTTTTATTTCCTTTTGATAACGGGGATAGATCATAGAATGTGCCACTGAGAATGCATGAAACAATAAATAATCCTAACAACAATAGATGTAAACGAATCGGTGAGCCAAATAAACACCATGTTCGAATCTTTTTTGCTTCTTGCAATTACTATTGCATGTGTGACTATCAGTGTAAGGGGCCGTTTACCAAACACTTACCCGGTAAGCGCATATTGGTGAAATTTAACACTATCACTTACCTACCGAGTAAGATTTTAGTCCACCAAAACGGTATCATATGCAATAATTTACCCGGTAAGCGCTTACCGTGGTAAGAGTCGTCGCMTTCACTTACCGGGTAARACTCTTGRTYYYTGTCTCGCTCTTACCGGGTAAGATTCTTGGTCCTTACCATATTTATCCGGTAAAGTAATGTGACTTGGTGTTTACTTACCCAAGTAAGCGTTTGGTAAACGGCCCCTAAGTCTATATGTGTTGCATGTTCTCTGGGGTTAGGGTCGGTATTTTTTTTTCTTGATTTTATACTCTTCAACTCCCACCGTCCCAAAATAAATGTCTACAACGAAAAAAGCACACAGTTATAGAAATGTGTAATTATTATACTTATTAATTAACTAAATGACAATTTTACCTCTAAGGATAAAGGGAGTAATGGAGTTGTGGATCTCATAATCAAGGGTAAAATTGGAAAGTAGACACTTACTTCTGAAAATGGACACTTATTTTGGGACAAACTAAAATAGAAATTTGAACACTTATTTCAAGACGGAGAGAGTAAGTTTTTATATTTGAACACTTCGGAAAGAAGCTAAGTTTCTCATATTGGAAGATGACAACAATTATCATAACTGTAAACTTCATATGCAAATAGTTCGTATCTCACTGAAGACTTGGCTATCTATCGCAATCTTGACACCAAATCTTCAACTTACATTGGGACAATATAAAAATTAAAATTGAGGGCAAGCATTCACACATTGGTTTATAAGAAATCCCCCAAGTTCGTGATAAAATGCATAAACTTATTGATCCCATGTTTGGTGTGACATTAGACTGGGACAGGACTAGACTGAATGAAACAAAAATCAGAGAGATGGGACAAGATTGGTAAATTATTAAACTACCCATGTCAAATTAAAACCCTAAAACTTTGCACAATTATTTCACCCGCCAACCTCACTCTCCCCCGTCCAGTCCAATCCTGTCTACCTACCAAACGCACACTAATGTATCCTGTAAGGCTGTAACTTCAAGAGTTCTCATGATACTTTGGACTTCTTAAAATGAACCTAGAAGGATCTTATGACAAAAAGACGAGTTCTTCTTCGTTTATAACCATTGAATCAAGATCATATAAACCAATAAACTACAAAGTGATCTCTCCGTTGCTATTCATGGATTCTTACCTAGCCTTCTCCTAACATTGACTTAGGGTCTGTTTATTAGCAGCTTAATAAGACTCAACTTATTCGGTCAGCCATACATGGTTGTTTGCTAGTTGCTTAATGATATAGAAAGTGACTCATTTAGTAAGCTTCTAGAAGGGGGCGTTATCCAGAAAGCCAAGTTTTTTTTCCAAACCTGCCCCTCCCAATTAAAAAACATGCTCCTTTCATCTATTAAAAAACCCTCCTAAACAAAAACCTTCCCAATCTATACATACAGATTAATCCACACAGACAACTTTATCCATACATGACTTGATGAAAAAACCAACCAGCCCCTTAACCGAACTAGGATGGTTTTGATACTAAGACCGCATGCAGCTTTGAAGATAAAAGTAAGCCTGTGATATTTGAGTTGTACTTCGTATAACCAAAAGATCTTCTGAAGAGTAGGTAACATTAACATGATAGCTTTCCAATAAACACACACACACACACATATATAGAGAGAGAGAGCTGATAGAAGAACTAATAAAGCACACTATATACGTCACAAATTGATAAACCCCTTTCATTCATAAAAAAAAGGTAGCTTTTCACTCTCTTGACACATGAAAAAGATCAATAGGTCTTGAGATAAGAAGGCCATTTATAAGAAATTACAGCTTTAGAAATGAGTGTCAAGTACAAGCACTTAGGGGCTCATTATTATTTTTCCATTAGACCCTGTGTGGATTAAGCTGTCTGTATGAAATTAGATAAAAAATTGTTGTTTTGTGCTGCATAAACGATCTGAATAACAAACATAGAACCGAAAAGAAGTTCATTGGCCAAAATGTATGCAACCAAAAGAACATATATAGAACACTTCCAAAATAAAGCCCGTAAATTGAAAGCATATGGAACTTATAAAATTCGATGAATGAGATACCTGGAAATGTGAACTGTTAAGACAGCGGCCAATCTGACGAAACAAAGGGACCATGCATTTTTGAAACTCTGCAGCTTGGGTAGATTCAAGAACTTCTTCCAATTCACTAAGATACATAACCTCTTTTGAACTATTGGTTATTGGCCAATACTTCAATAGTCCTCTAATCACTGTGTCAGCCAGCTTGAAGTCTTTCTCCACAAATTGTGTGATGCAATATGAGAGTTGCTGATGATACATCGATAAACATTTGGGTTTGTGAAGAGGAACCAACGTGCGCATAAGAAAAAGCTTGTGCTCTTCTTTCAAAGGCAACGCAAACCCGTTAATTATGCTACCCAATATTTCAAGCAATTCAGCAACCCCATTATGCTTTTCTGTCTCGAATATAAAACGGTAAAAGATATTGTTGATGGCTTTCCTAATGAACGGCCGATGCACCATGAACTTTCCATAGATCCGGTGAAGGATTGTCTTCAAATATTCTCTTTCCCTTTGGTCTTCGGAATCAAAAAGATCAAGCAATCTCAACACAAAGGAATGATCGATGTATCGTTTAGCAAGCTTAGCGTCCGTCTCCGATGAAGCCACAAACCTGAGAAGAAATTCATACACAATTTGAAGATGAGGCCATGAGGGTTCCATACTTGGTTCATCATCCTCCGGATCAAAAACATCCGGCAGTTTGTTATCATGAATCGACGAAGGCAAAGACCGAAAAAGATTCGAACCGATCATTTTTGTGATCTCCTGCATTGTGACCTCGTTGAATTTCGAAGAAACCGAGGATACATAATCAACAAGCTCAAGCAAAGTCTGTCTCTTAACATCCTTTTCTTTCAAATTCTTAGAAGGATCACTAAAATCAAACACCACACAACACATATTCAACTTCCTGATGAAAAGATTGTGCTTTTCTGAGCTCGGTACATCCCGAAAACTCGGCAATGCTTCATAAACAGCATGATTCGGTCCATGGCTCACTTGGGTTGACCCAAGAGGACCTGACTTCTTCCCTTGGTTTGACTTAACATTTGGAGCATAACTTCCATTAATGGCTGGATTCGAACCCTTACCCGATGAACCAGTGGTCTTAGAACTATTATTAACACCCGAATTCATCGAAGGAAAAGCCATATCATTCTTCCCCCCATCATTTTGGGAGGATTTCGAAGATGGCTTTCTGGGAAGCTTATTCAGTATTTGCTTAATCATATCCACCAAAATAAACCACCAAAACCCCCAAATCGTCAACCCCTTTATATCCGAAACAATCAATGTTTTAACCTCGAGATATCCCAAACCACACACATTTCTAAAATCTCAAAAATAACGAAAGATAAGCCATGGAGGGTTGAAATTTAAAAACCCTAAATCAGAAAAAAGCTCGTACCTTGGACCCACATACAAATTGCTGGTTACACTAAAGTTTGCAAGAGTCAAAATTAGGGTTCATCAACTTCAATCGCATCATACGGAGAGCTACAAATAACCGAAAGATTGAAAGCGAAACATGAACAATATAGAGTCAAATACAGAAGCTGATTGCATTAACGACGACAAATTTGATGACAGTGATGCATTTGTGGGGGGAGAGAGAGAATTAGGAATTAAAAAGAAACCCTAAAACAATAAGGGAAAAGGGTTTCTTTGTGTCATGAGGATTTTGGAAAACCTAAATTTATTCTTCTTGGATTCATTATATTTTAGAGAGAGAAACTATGGCTGGAGAGTGAGTGCTGACAACTGACCAGGGGTTGGGGGGGATAACGGCGGTTTAACGGAGAAAATGACACCCTCTGTCAAAGAGGAATTTAAAGTTCCACCACTATAGTTTGCTTTTTTTACAAACTCGCCCCCAAAGTTTTAGTATTGTCTTCTTTATCACAAATTTGAAATTTAATTTCTGTTTTCTGAATGATAAGAAATAATAATGATAATCGAGTGTTTGAGGGTGGAAAATGAGAATACAATCTAGAAGATCTGGTTGAACGGTAGAAGAATTGAGGGGTTCGTTAGGAATCGATAGTCGCTAGCTAGCCATACGAGTCACAACCGCCAGAAAGAGGAGAGATCAACGATGGAGCTACTAACAGTAAACGAAAGGACAAGACCACATTTCGTACATTTCCACTGGCCAAGAAAAATATGGTTTTGTTTGATATAATATAATGTGCTCATTATCCCAAACCCATTTATTTTCGCACCTGACCAAATTGCGATGAACGAAAATTTTATTCTATTCCCATTATCTGCTTACCAAACGCCTCCTAATAGCATGAGGTAATACTGATTTTATCTCTTTTAAAAAATGATGACTGTAATAATACGTTCGTTGATTTCAATTATTCCTAACAAAAAAGAGATTCCCATGTAGAATATAGGTATATAGAATAGCAAGCAACGGTTTGACTACTGCCAACCAAAAAGCATCAAACCGTAGGGTTCGTTGATAGATAGGTTTTCTGAAATGGATAGGCATCATTATAATGTTTTTTTTGCAGTACAGGTTTTTAGACGTACCCCTATAACTCGATGATTATTACTTGAGATTTTTCACATGTCTTAATGATATAGCACTCGAAATCATAGAGGATAAAAGAATACGAAACAACAAAAACTCGACTGACACGTGGCTCAAATTAAACTCCTTTAAATGTACATATGTACCAAGTATGAATTTGAATAATGGATTACAACTTGCTAGAGATCGAGGGTTCCTTGATCAAAATAGATTCGATGAATCAATTGGATTGCATACATATATATACATACATATATATATATATATGTATGTATGTATAGGGTTGGGTTCACATGAGACCAATGGTTTTTCGTGAGACCCGTAAGATCAATTTACGTTCATTGATCGGCTTTATAAACTAATGATCTAATGGTCTAAAATTGCACGGTGGCAATTTTGTGATTATTGAGAAGTCTCATGGCGTTTGTGAATGTTAAGATCTAACGATTGTAGATCTAATCCAATGGTTGAGAATTGGTCTTACGGGTCTCATGAAAAAGTCTTGGTCTCACATGATCCCAAGTTTGTATGTATATATGTATATATATATATATATATATATATATGTGTGTGTGTGTGTGTGTGTGTGTGTATATATATATGTATAAACAAAGTGTAAGAGGAAATCTGGATCCTTAATCACTTTTAATATCAAACCAAACCATGAGTTGCTTTAGAATGGAATTGATCTGGTGTATCTCATTACACCTATAGTGTTTCTTTTTAGTTAGGATTGATTTAAGGGTGAATATCTCTTTTTACTCATTCTCACTATAACTTTCATTCTAACGGAACTCAGTCCTACGTGTATGTGTGTGTGGGTATTCGCTCTCTAAATATGCTATTCGACCCTTTATTGCCTTGGGTGTCACAAATTGAGTATTGGGATAATCCAATGATCACTTAAAGGTTGTAAAATCGCGTTATATTTATATCCAGATTTAGCGTTTCACACATGTATATGAAAGATCGACGATTACGGGTTAGTTTAGCCGGTTTATTGTTAACTGCACAGTAGTTATGACGTAACTGTCTGTGGATAAGATCAAACATGGATCATAAGGCAATTTAGAATCCGAAACTTTTGAAGAGAAGTCAGAGCTTTTGAATGTAAACTCATAAGCTTCTATGTTAGCCTTCAATGACGTTTTGAACTAAATTAAGAAGGCTTCTTGCCTTCTGAAATACACTTAGGGGCCGTTTACCAAACGATTACCCAAGTAAGTGTTTACCAAGTCACATTACCTTACAGATGAATATAATAAGAACCAAGAATCTTATCTGGTAGGAGCGAGACAAGGACCAAGAGTCTTACCTGGTAAGTATTTGTCTGGTAAATTGTTGCATACGATACCATTTTGATGGACTAAAATCTTACCAGATAAGTAAATGATAATGTTAAACTTTACTAGTAAGCACTTATCGAGTAAGTGTCTGATCCGGGTAAGCATTTAGGTAAACGGCCCTTTAGAAGATTTAGGGGCCGTTTACCTAAATGCTTACCATGTAAGCACTTACCGTTAGGAGTCAATACTATAATTTATTTTACCGGGTAAGATTGTAGTACATCAAAATGGTATCATATGCAACAATTTACCCGGTAACCGGTAAGCACTTACCCGGGTAAGAATCGTCACTCTCACTTGTTGAGTAAGACTCCCCTTCTTCATCACTGCTCTTACCATGTCAGATTTTTGACCCTTGCCATGTTCATCCGGTAAGGAAAATTACCCTGTAAGCTCTTCCCAGGTAAGCGTTTAGTAAACGGCCCCTTAGAAATTCAAATTTCACAAGCACTTCTCCTTCTTACCCATTTGATCCCGCTAGCGACACTGTCCCTGCCTTATAGTGATTCAAGATAACATAAACAAAACATTTGTGAGTATGCACTTCTCACTCACTTTATGCCTTGCCTTACCACTGCATTAATCCCATATCAATCACAACTACATCAAAACCCTTGATCACGCTAAAATCACCAACAAAATCTGTGTAAACGACGATTACGTTCAATAACATATCAGATACTCACAAGATGAAATTTCTTTCGCTCGTCCATTTCTGTTGGAAGAAATTCTAATTTTTTATGAAAAAATAATAAAAATTGTGATATTTAAAAGAATGGGGGAAAATTTGCATATAATTGTTAAATATAGGGGGAGAAAGTGAAAAGTCCTTAAACATTTGTGTCAATTTTAATTATTGACGTGTTGACTAGGGAAACTAAAATGCATGATACATATTATGTGTCTTATTTTTCTTGTAAAATATCTATCTATATTAACTACGTAGCGTTGAGTTTACGTGAAAACAGTTTGTTTTTATGAGACAATATTTTTATACTTGAAATTTTATAAAAAAATGTTGTGAAGGTAATAAAAAAGTCGAACTTTCACAGTAAAAACAAGGTGAAAGTTACTTTCACAGTGTTTTGCTGTGAAATTTCAAATGTAAAAATCGTGTCTCACATGATCACGAGTATCTATTTATATTATAAAAAAAATTAAATTTTGTTTTTAAATTTTTTAAATCTATACTATATTATAAAGTATTTGATAAAAACTCTTAAAAACCATTTTTTATGCATAAATTACTGTTTATTAATTAATGTTACTTAAAATTCAATATTACAAGTAGATTGTGCGCAAGTACTACTTGTTAAAACTCCATATTTGAATTCATGTAACTAACTGTAGATAAACATAATCAAATGGAAGATAAATATCTCATTTTAAATATAAAAAATCTAAAATATAATTAGGATAATCATTGAGTTTTAATTGAATACTTAATTATTATCTCTATCAAATGTTATATTATTAAAACAAAAAAAAATTATTTCATTATTAAACTTAAATTAAATTATAATAAAAAATTTTAAAGAAATTACATAAAAAATGAGAACTTTTAAATAGTTGATTTGATATTAACATTGATATATATTTTTTTAAATTTTTTATGATATCTTCAAATTTATATTTTATTCAAAAATAAAATCAATATTGTTTTCTTAAAAACACATAAAATCGTATTATAACATCGATAGAGACAAAGAATAAAATAAAACATTAAAATCGAGATGTATCTCGTTACATTGCGCGAGTACCCTTATAGTTCTTAAAAAATACAACTATTTTTATTAACATCAACAAAACATAATTTATTAAACTAAAACAATAGCAAGAAGAGGGTGATCACAAGATGCGGGAAACAGGTGGAAAAACCGCAACAAAACTACACGGAAAGCAAACAAACAAGTAAACCAGTGAAATAAAAGAACCAAAAAACAGTATCAAATGTTAAAGAACCTGAACAAAACCAAAAAATAAAAAAACCGAGATTATGATGCAACAACAAGAAAGATGATCGATCAAAAGAATTTGAGATTATGATCCAATCGGTCCGTTGGATCTGAAAGTTTTTGGTCCTGTAGAAATCCATGCATACAATGCCAGTCAGTCAAAAAATATAAATGTTGTCTTTGGTTAACGGTATCAAGCAGTAACCAATAAAACTAATAATAAAAAAAACTGTTTTATTTTATATAATATAATGAGTTCATTTCCTCACAAACCCAAAATTTCATTTCAAGTTAAATTGGGAGAATAAAAAGTCATTTCTATTTTCAACCCCCAACATAAATCAAACATCCCCTTAATCTTAGTTTTCATAATATTTCATGACTCAATGTCAAAATGTATTGCACAAATACATTTTTAGTACTAGAAGTGTACTCGCACAATGCAGCGAAATACATTTTCATTTTAATATTTCATTTTGTTTTTTGAATCTGTTGATATAATACGGTTTATGTGGTTTTGAAAAAGATAATGTTTTTACTTTTGAATAAAAATAAATTTGAAGACATCATAAAAATTTGAAAAAAAAATATATCGATAGTTAATAGTTTTTTGTACAATTTCTTTAATTCAATTTTTTATTATGATTTAATTTAGGTCAAACAATGAAGTAATTTTTTTTTGGCTTAAAAACAATTTTTTTTATAAAGACTAGAAGCGTACTCGCGCAATGCAGCGAGATATATCGTGATTTTAATATTTCATTTTATCCTTTATCTCAGTCAATGTTATAATATGGTTTTATGTGATTTTGAGAAAACGAT